CAATAAAGCATCAAAAGAAATACACAAGAATCAAAATAATGTATTGAACTTTGAGAGAAGAAAACAGAAGTGTAGTTACCAGAGGTAGAAAATAGCAAGGGGGATGTGGGAAGGGAGTAAAGGGACCCCAAAATCGATTACATTGTGTAATGAGGAATATAGTAATCACCGTTTCTGATTATTTAAATTTAAAAAAAATTTTATTGAATCAAAATTGATTATACATATTTTGGGGGCTTAACATTTGAGATATGTTGACCAAATCAATATTACTAGCATATATATTGTTACAAATCGCAGTTATTCTTTATGCCTCTTGTCCAATCCATCCCCATCCCTTTCTTTTCCCCCTCCCCTCTCTAATCACCCTAGGTTTCTTCTCTCCTTCTGGAAAAATAATGGTTACTCTGTTGATTTGCTGCCCAAATGATTGTCCAGTGCTGAGAGGCACAATCAGGTCCCCAAATACTATCATAGAGCAGATGTCTCTTCCATCACTATGAAATGGGCTCTGTGGAGACAGACATCCTCCTCCTTTCTTTATCTCTGCTGGTGACTCTCCTTGTGTCAATTCACTCCAGTGGCTGGCAGACCATCTGTGTGGTGGTTGTGGCATCTAGCCACATTCATGGCAGCCATGGTTATTATGGTGGCTGTGGTGGGCCACCCACATGGCAGAGATGTTTTTGGCCTGCTCCCTGGTGCTGGCAGTGTGCCTGGTTGTGGAGACTGTTTGGTCCCTTTCTCCGTACTCTGGGTCCCTGAGTGGGCCCTGAGGTGCTGGCACAGGGTGCCTGGTTTTGGGAGGGGGGTCCAGTCCCCTTCTCCATGCCTCAGGTCCCAGGGAAGGCCCTGAGGCACTGGCATGGGGTGCCTGGTTGTGGAGACGTTCCAGTCCCTGGCTCTGTACCCTGGGCGGCCCCCAGGGTGCTGCCACAGGGTGCCTGGTTTTGGGAGGGATGTTTGGTCTCCTCCATGTGTCAGGCCCCTGGGCGGGCCATGATGCACTTTCCCAGCATGCCTCATTGTGGGAGGGGGTCTGGCCCACTTCTCTATGCCTCAGGTGGACCCCAAGGTGCTGGCACGGTGTACCTGGTTGTGGGAGGGAGGTCCAGTGCCCTTCTCCATGCCTCGGACCCCCAGTTGGGGCCCCTAGGCACTCTAACAGTGTGCCTGGTTGTGGGAAGGAGTTGCGGTCCCTGGGTGCTAACACTGGGTACCAAGGCAGACCCCTAGGCATTGGGGGCATGCCTGTGTATTCGAGTGGGATCCAGTCCTTGGCTCCAATCCTTGGGTTCTTGGGTGGGGCTCTGATGTGCTGGTGGTGTGTGGTTGTGGGTGGGATTACTGGCCCCTTATTCCATGCCCCATTTCCTATGGTGGGCCCCAAGGCATTCATGGTGTGCCTGGCCCAGAACTAAGTTTTTGACCTTTGCTTGCTTCTTACCTGGGGAAAGTTCCTTTGGGAACCAGGACTTTAGCTATGTGATTGAGGTGAATTGCTGCTTTGCTGTTGTTTCCCTAGGGAAGACTTTTTGTGCAGCTCAGGCTTTAATGGTTGACCTTACAGGTACTTCCGGCTCTCCAGACAGTGCACCTGGGTCGTGTAAAAACTCTGATCTGGGCCTGAGTTCATTGGACTGCACCCCATGCAATTCTGCATTCCTGAGCAGTCTTCTCTGAGTGGCCCTGTGCTCATTGGGGGGCAGATTGTCTGTACTTGCTGTGTCCCAGTGTTCTCCCAGTGGGCCCGTGTCCCCAACCACCCATGCTCCAAACACTTCCCCTGGGATTGGCCCTGCACCAGTCCCTTGTGGTGACTCACCACTCTAAGTGGCTCCCCTTTTTCAGCTGTTCTGGCTCTTCAGTCCTGTGTGGGTCCATGGGAACCCTGTTAGTGATCTTGCTGTCCTGGGAGCCACCAAAGTTCTCTTCTCCCCTTCCACCTCCAAGTAATTCCATCTAAAGGGCACAGCTGCAGCTTCTGCCAGCTCCTGCTCCATGTGCTCCAGCATGAAAGCAGCCATGGCCCAAAACACTGAGAGCAGTTTTTTCTTTCTCTCTTCATGGTTTCTCCAGTCTTCATGAGTTCCATAGGTCTCTCCTCCTCTTCACCTGAGCTCCAGCAGCACCAGCTTGGCTGTTACATTTTTATAGTTGTAAATTTGTCTATTTGTGGGAGTGACACTGGTCACCATCTATTCTGCCATCTTGACTGGAAGTCCTCAACTAATTATCTTGATTTTAATGTCACATATTGCACATAGGTATTGATATTCAATGCTGTACCCCAAAGATATGTATAATCAACTATGTTGCAATAATAAAACTTAAAATGCTTTTTATTGTACCTTCACTTATTTCTTTAAATCCCATTATGGATATGCAGATTCTAATGCTTGTCTTTTTTCTTCTCTGTAAGAATTTTTTTATTCACTTTGCTTCCAGCACAGGTGTATTGGCAACAAATTCTCTCAATTTCTTTTGCCTGAGAAAGTATTTCTTCCAATTTCTTTTGCCTGAGAAAGTATTTCTTCTTTTCCACAGCTTGATTTCATAGTGTACAGAAATCTGGGTTGTAGGTTGCTTTAATCAACACTTTGAATATTTCACTATTCTCTCTTTATGTGGATTCTCAGGAGATGCTGGGAGTAATTCTTATCTTGCTTCTTTTTAAGCAAGATGTGTTTTCCTCCCTCTGGTTTCAGTCAGATTTTTTCTCTCTTTTTCATTTTCTGAAGTTTGAGAACTACATATGAAGATGTAGCTTTTTGGCATTTATCTGGCTCTGTGTTATCTCAACTCCCTTGATCTTTGATTTTGTGCTTGATGTTAAATTGTGGAAGTTCTTAGACATTATTGTTTTAAGTGTTTCTTCTATGTTTTTCCCCTCCATATCTTTTGTGCTGTTTTTTTTTTTCATTACTCTTTGTTACAACTTTTGTCATTGTCCATCAGTCCTCGGATATTATGTTCTGTCCCTTTTTGTCTTTTTCTTGTGTGTGTATGCTTTTCAGTTCTTAATTTGTTGATGTATCCTCAAGCCAAGAGATTTTTTTCCTCAGCTGTGTTCAGTCTATGAAGTTCATGAGTGTATGGTGCCAGTCATGTCAAGGACCATAGTTTGATCCATATACTGGTCAGTTGCCCTCCCACCATGTATCTTTATAATGTCTGTGTAATTATTTAAAGGAATTTCATTGATAGAACAATGAATATGTTGTATTTCAAAATGGACCAAATGCAAAAATAAATAAATAAATAAAAGTAAATATAAGATGAATTATATTGGTAGATCTCTTAATGTAGAGCTTTCCTTTAATGGTGTAATAAGTTTAGAACATTTCTTTTTGTTCTTTATAATCTTTTATTTCCTCTATCTTATGATTAACAATAAAGTCCTTCTGCAGACTCTTTCCTTATACTTTTTTGGTTTTGATTTTTCTTTTTATTTGGACTCTCTTAGGTTTGTTCACTTATTCTGATGTCTTCAAGTAACATTGAAACTTTCATACTTTCCTTGTACTGAATGTCCGCCCAAAACCTGACCCGCAGCTTGACAGTGTTAAAATAGTGGGAAATCCAATTATGGTCATTGAAAGTTGGGGCTTTCAAGATGTGATTAGATTGTAAGATCTTGCCATAAGAAATCAGTTAATAATGGGGGGCAGAAGTGTGCTTCTGAGGGTTTTAAAAGAAGAACACGTGAGAGCTTAGCCTGTCTCTACTCTGCCATTTTCTGCCATATGAGACCACTGGTTCACTGTAGTCTCCACCACAGCCTTCCACAGCTGTTCTCTGGACCTTGGACTTCCCAGCTTTTGAATCTGCAAACAGTAAATTTCATTTTCTTACAAATCACCCAGTTCCAGGTATGTTGTTATAAGCACCAGAAATGGACTAACAAATTTTCAAATCTTTATCTTCAGCTTAGGTCTCTCTTGCTTCAACTCTGGAATCATGTATCTGATTGCAATTTTGACATTCCCACAGATATTTTAAGTATAATGTGTTCAAGTCTGCTTTATTTCTGCCCATCATATTTTTTTGTCATTCTTCAATTAACACTTTAGAGTGCCAGTAGCTAACTAACTATGGTTATGTAGAGAGCCTGAGAGTAAAACACTTTTATTTTCTGCACAGGAATTTAATACCACAGTGTCTTCCTGCATTTTATTTCCCTTTTTCTTTTTTGTAGTATTACATCCCTCTTCTGGATGCATACTGCTCTGTGTTCTTTTTGTTCTTTTTTCTGTTTTCCTACTGGGTGGCCAGTGCTGGGATCTGAACCTGTGACCTGAGTGTTACCAGAACCACGCTCTCCAAAGTGAGCTAACTGACCAGACTTGCTCTATGTTCTAATGTAGCTAGTCTTCCATCATCCTATTTTCTTCCCATCTGACTCTAAGGTTCTTTCCATTCCCTTTCTAGTGTATAGCTATTAAACTGTAAATCTAGTTATGTGATTTTGGAAATACAAATCAGTTACATTATTTGCACCCTGTGGTTTAAAAACTGGCAGTGTTCAGTCTCATGCAGACACAAGCAATTTTTTGATATGTAGGAAGGAAATTTTGGAAAGCACTTGTATATGCCTTCAGTTTATAAGTAATTAAAAAACAATTGCATATGCTTTACTGTTTGAAATAGACAAATATATAAATGCAGAATCATTTCATAATGAGTTTTTAAAATAGTGTGTGTATTTGTTATCACAGCTCACAAGCATTCACCTAGACATGGTGCTGTGTGTAGTTCCACTAACATGGGGCGTCTTCCTTTGGTCTGTGATGGCAGTTTTGCTGTTGTCTTATATTAAGGAAAACATGTGGTTCACATGGAAGAGCTTAACGTCTTTGTCATTTCAGTGAATTGCAAAATATATTTCTATGTTTATCTTACACACTGGTTCAGTTATATATTTACACTTATGTCTTCATACCTGATTATAAACTCCTTGGGGAAGCATTTTGTTCGTACTTTTGTCACTAGCCACAGGGATGGTCATTAGTTATAAGGTAAGATTTGGAATCATATATTTAGTAAGTATTATAGTATTACTGTAAGATGATATTCCTGCTGGGTTTTTTTCTCCACCATATGGAGCACCAAAAAGAAGCATCTTGTTTAACACATAAGACACACACACACACACACACACACACACACACACGTGTGAACTCTGAGATTCCTGTTTCGTGACCCAGGGCTGGTGGCTTGAATTGAGATCAATGTGCCATTACAGGAATTGGTGTCATTTGAGGATGTGGCTGTGGACTTTACCTGGGAGGAGTGGCAGGACTTGAATGATGCTCAGAGGACTTTGTACAAGGATGTGATGCTGGAGACCTACAGCAGCCTGGTGTCTTTGGGTGAGTGAAACTCTTCAGTAACATTCAGGAGGCACAGGTTTTTAAAATTAATATTGGAACAATTTATAGGGTTTTACGCTATTTGGTAAGAGTATCGGGTACCAGGGCCAAGTGAACCATGGGTTTCAAGTTGAGAAGCTAAGATTGCTGTTTTGAAGTGGAATTTGAAGTTAGTATTTTCCTCTTCTTTTTGTAAAAATCATTTTAAAACAACAAAGAAAATGAGAGGTATACAGGAGACTCCATTTTTTTATGAGAGTACATCATTCAAAACTCCAGTGCATAATGCCAAAGCTTTGATGAGCAATGAATTATCAAGTGGAAGTGCTTATTTCAGAATTTGGGAAGACAATACAAGTGGATTTTAGGAGTCAAAAATAAAAAAGAGCTTTTTCAAAGGTGATGGGCATATCCTTGGTTGTAGAAACAAATAGTTTAGACCAGCAGGAAAAGTGTGTCTGAATGGGTGGACTGAGGTTTCCTGTATAGTAATGGTTCTGAGAAGCACAGGAAGTCAGGTTTAATGAGTAATTTGTGGGTGGCTATGCTTAGAGTGGAGAAAAGTAGATTTTATTATTTGAAAAACTTCCACATATACCTGTAGCCCTTTCCTATGGAAGAGTAAAAAGTATAATAATGTGAATGCAAAACTCTTAACCTAAGTCATTTTCCTCAATATGTAACGAAAAATTGGCTTGCTCCTGTATCTGAAAGTAGCCAATGAAGGAAAATGTAGCCATATTCAAAACAAAGTAATGAGAAAAGAGCATCAGGAGAAAACCACTATTGTTATAAAAATAAAACAGTCTAAAAAGTGTAAACAAGTGGAAAGTGATAACCAAGTATTTCAGAACTACAATTAGGAAGATGGCAAAAATTATCAAATATTTAATCTTGATTTAAAAAAGAAAAAAGTGAATAAAGAAGCAAAGAAAAACATGATGCAATTTTTGAAAATAAATACAACTTAACATTGTCAGTAGGAAAAATCCCTGTATACTCATGAAACCAATACCCATTATTGACTTGTACAAAATTGTTTATTACTAGGATTGTGAGAAGCTTCTCTACCTTTACAAAAGTGTGCAATGAAATATTGGTATGGTTTTTTTTTTCTTTCTGTCATTTCAGATGTCCAGATAGTTAATGACCTAATTAAGAGCAGCCAAGAAAGTCATGGTAGATACTTGTGGCAAGGTGTAATCCTCAATGGGAACCAATCAACTGAGGAGAGAGTTGATTTAGGAAAATCATTTAATTTGAGTTCAAAGCATATTTTAAATCTGGTTATAAGTAATAGAAACTATTCAGGAGTGGGCCATGAGGAGTTTAATGTATGTCAGAGTATACTTCTTACAGAGACTGATGCCATGCATGCTGGAGAGAAATCTGATAAGCATAATATAATTGGGAAGTCACAGAGACATCCTGAGAATCTCAGTCAGCATTCCAGGTTTCAGTCTGGGCAACCTTTTGAATTTAGTGGAAAAGGGAAGTTCTCCAACACAGTGCCATTAATACTTACATATGAGAAGATGCATATGGGTGAGACCACCTGTAAATATAATGAATATGGTAAAGCCTGTGATAAGTCAGCTGCCATTGCCCAAGAGATAACTCAGGTAGGAAAGAAAACTTTTCAGTGTGATATATGTGGGAAAATGTTCTATAAAAAGATTACACTTTCTCAACATCAGATTACACATACAGGAGAGAAACATGATGAATATGGCAAATGTCAGAAACCTTTAATTAGGACATCATATGCTACTTCATATCAAAGAACATCTACAGGGAAGAAGCTTTATCCATGTAATGAACAGGAGGAATTTTTCTATCAGAAGTCAGAACTTACTGTGCATCACAGAATTCACACAGAGGAAATGTCCTATGGATTTCTTAAGTGTGGCAATGACTTTGATGAAAATTCATTTATCAACTGTCATCAGAGAATTCACACAAGTGAAAAATCATATGAATGTAATGAATGTAGAAAATTTTTCTACCATAATTGTGCCCTTACTGTATTTCAGAGAATTCACATAAGTGAGAATCCATATGAGCGTGAGGAAAGTCAAATTTTCTACAGTAAGTCAAAACTCAAAAAGCATAAGAGAATTCACATTGCTGAGAAACCATTTGAATGTAAGAGATGTGGAAAAACCTTCTACCAGAATTCAGACTTCAGCAAGCATCAAAGAATTTTTAAGGAATGTGGAAAATGTAACCAAAAGTCAAATCTGAAGACAACTCAGAGAATTCACACAGGTGAGTACCCAAATGAATGTAAAGAATGTGGGGAAGCTTTTAGCCAAAAGTCAGCTCTCCACAGGCATGAGAGAATTCACAAAGACAAGACACCATATGAATGTAAGGAATGTGGAAAAGCTTATAACAAAAAGTCAGCCTTCAGCATGCATGAAAGAAATCACCCAGGTGAGAAGCCCTACAGATGTAATGGTTGTCTAAAAACCTTTAACAAATCATACTTCAAGATGCATTGGAGTACTCAAATGGGAAAGAAACATTATAAATGTAAAAAAGGTGGAAAAGTTTTAAACCAAAAGTCACATCTCAGCAGGCAGGAGAGAATTCACACAGGTGAGAAAACATATGAATGTAAAGAATGTGGAAAAGGTTTTAACCAAAAGTCAAACCTCAGCATCTATCAGAGAATTCACACAGGTGAGAAATCATATGAATGTATAGAATGTGGGAAAGCTTTTACACAAAAGTCGCACCTCAGCATGCATCAGAGAATTCACACAGGTGACAAACCATATGAATGTAAAGAATGTCGAAACGCTTTTAACCAAAAGTCATCCCTCAACAAGCATCAGAAAATTCACACAGGTGAGAAACCATATGAATGTAAACAACGTCGAAAAGCTTTTAAGCAAAAGGGAATCCTCAGCATGCGTCAGGGAACTCACACAGGTGAGAAACCATATGAATGTAAAGAATGTGGAAAAGCTTTTAAGTGAAAGTCTAACCTCAGCATGCATCAGAGAATTCACACAGGTGAGAAACCATATGAATGTAAAGAATGTGGAAAAGCTTTTAAGTGAAAGTCTAACCTCAGCATGCATCAGAGAATTCACACAGGTGAGAAACCATATGAATGTAAAGAATGTGGAAAAACTTTTAGCCAAAAGAGATCCTTCTGGTTTCATCAGAGAATTCACACAGGTGAGAAACCATATGAATGTAAAGAATGTGGAAAAACTTTTAGCCAAAAGAGATCCTTCTGGTTTCATCAGAGAGTTCACACAGGTGAGAAACCATATGAATGTAAACAATGTGGGAAAGCTTTTAACCGAAAGTCAAACCTCAGTATGCATTAGAGAGTTCACACAGGTGAGAAACCACATGCATGTAAACAATGTGGAAAAGCTGTTAACCAACAGGTATCACTCAACTTGCATCTGAGAGTTCACACAGGTGAGAAACCATATGAATGTAAAGAATGTGGAAAAGCTTTTAAGTGAAAGTCTAACCTCAGCATGCATCAGAGAATTCACACAGGAGACAAACCATAGGAATGTAAGCAGTGTGTAAAAACTTTTAAGCAACAGGTATCAGAATTCACACAGTGAGACACCATATGAATGTAAGGAATATTGAAAAGCTCTAAACCAAATGTCAGCCTTCAGCATGCATTAGAGAATGCACCCAGGTGAGAAACTGTATGAATGTAATGAATGTCAAAGAATGTTTAACTACAAGTCATACTTCAGGATACATCATTGTACTCACAAACACAACAAATATTATGAATGTAAAGAATTTGGAAAAGCTTTTAACCAAAAGTCAATCCTCAGGTGGCATCAGAAAATTCAAACTGGTGAGAAGGCCTACAAATGTCATAAATGTGGAACAACCTTTAAAAAGAAGTCATCCATCTTGGTGCATCAGAGTACTCACAGTAAAACTAAAAACCATATGAATGTAAAAAACATGGAAAAATCCTTTAACTGAAAAAGTCCAACCGTCAGCATGCAGCAGAGAATTCATACAGGTGAGAAACCCTATGAATGTACTGAATGTGGAAAATTTAAAAAGTCACACTTTAGAAGACATCAGGATATGCACACAGGAAAAAAATCCTTATGAATGGAACAAATATGATGTCTTTTATTGGAACTCCCCTTAATTGACATAAAAGAATGTCAGGCCTTAAAACTAATGCCACCTTAAGTGACATTACAAGTGGGTTAACGTGGCAGCCTAAGACGGCACCAGGAGGAAGTAGGGTGGGAGTGTCTGCGGGAACCTTACCTTAGTCCTTATTGGCCGCACTCATGAACACTGCGTGATTGCAATAGATAGGCATTGAGACAAGAACCCTCAAGCTGATTGGAGGATGTAAAAAACCTGCCTTTCCCATTTGCCTTTAAACGCAAGTGCTTGTGTGCTAATAAACAGAACTGCTTCGACAGAACCCCCGCCGCGTCTGAGTGTCCTTTACTGGGGCTGTTTGGGGGGCCGGCAGTGTGCTCACCTCTCTTCACAGCACTCTTTCCCTGTCTCCTTCCAAAGGGGACAGGAGGGAAAGAGGAATCCTAGGCCGTTTGCTTGCCCACCGAAAGGAACGAAGCTAGGGCTGTACGGGTCGGCTGGCGGTGGACCTGACAGAGTGGTGCCCCGTGTGAGGCATTTTAAAGGTGATCGAATGAAGCCCCTGGCTGCTCGGTTCTGAAAGAAGGTCAATGAAGGGTGATCAACCAGTGGAGTGGCACCCGCAACTGCGGTAGTTGCCATGAAGTAATCTGCCTGCGTGTCAGGGTGAGTACCATAACAGGGGAAGTCTCTGCACTTCTCTGCCCTGTGCTCACTTTGTCCCTTCCTCGTGGGGCGACATGGGAGGTGTGTGTCGAAAGAGTGCTGAGATAGCCTGCAAGGCTCTAAAGTACATGTTAAAAAGCAGAGGCCTAGAAATACCTGACTCCACAGCCACCAATGTCTGGCGTCATGTGGTGCAGGTAGCCCCTTGGGCACCTTCGTCCAACTTATTCTCAATGAGACTTGGGACCAGGTTCAGATCCTGGCCAGAAAGAATGAGATTAGTCATGGGTTAGACCCCCCTTAGGGTTCTACCTAACCTTTTCTGCCCTAATGCTTTGCTTGCATCCCGAGCATCAGGAAGGGGCAGAAAGGAATTGGGCACAGTTCAATGAGGAGAGAAAAAAGGAAACAAAGCTGCCAATGCAAGGCCCTGAGCCATTGAGTGATACCTATACCCCTACCCTGTACCCTCCTCTCCCGGCATTCTCACCCCACCAAAATTTAGCTGAAGGAGAGAAAGCAGCACCTGAAGAAGTGGAGGAGGCTAGTCCACCTTTAAAAACATCCCCAGCAGAGCCAAAGGTTTTTCCTGTCATGGCTCGCTGGGAACCCCTGGCCGTCTGCAGCCTGTGGGGGGAAGCGGCCCCTCAGGCCTATCTGGTCAACATTGTAAAAGAACTAAAAAAGGCTGTTGCTGAGGCTGGGACTTTATCCTCAGCCTTGCAGGCTCAGACACAAAACTTAACCGAAGCCTTCAAGACCTTTACCGCCCTGATCCCCTCAGGAAACAATACTTACCCACCCTTCAAGGGACAATTTTTTTTTTTTTTTAAAGATGACTGGTAAAGGGATCTCAATGCTTGGCTTGGTGTTGTCAGCTCCACGCTCAGCCTGTGAGCTAACCGGCCATCCCTATATAGGATCCGAACCCGTGGCCTTGGTGTTATCAGCACCACACTCTCCTGAGTGAGCCATGGACCGGCCCAAGGGACAATGTTTTGGTTGTGGAAGACAAGGTGATTTTAAAAGCCAGTGTCCCAAGGCTAAAGGGAAAAACCCCCTACCATACCTTGCCCCCGATGTAAAAAAGGATTACATTGGAAAAAGTACTGTAGGTCCAAATTTGACAAAGCCACCGGTGGAAATAGGCCAGCCGTTTGATACCCTTGTGAAGCTCATGACCTTAAAGAGCTGAAAAAGACTGTCACAGAGGATGGGCCCAATTCCCCATGGGCAGAAACCATCCTCCAGGGCTTAGCACACCAACCCTGCATGACACAAGATTGGAAAATGCTCTGTAAGGCTGTCCTCCCCCCAAATTCGTTTATCAAATTCTGCACCTTCTTTGAAGAAGAGTGCCATGTGCAGGCAGAGATAAACCAAGCAGCCAATCCACCCATCCCTATCAGCTTCGGCATGCTGTCTGGAACAGCAGATTAATTTAGTACTGGAATCCAACAGGCTGCTATCCCAGTTCCCTACCAGGACCAGGTTAGGGCAACAGCATTAGCCGCATGGAAGAAGTTGGCTGAAGGGCTCAGTGAGCCCACAATGGCCAGCGTCACCCAGCGACCCTCTGAGGACCTGCCCTCTTTCATAGTTCGGGTGCAACAGAGCATACAGAGAAAGTTTCCCTCAGGTCCTCTCCGGGACCAGTTTGTAAAAATGCTAGTGTGGGATGACATGACTGCTGACCACAAGCTTGCCTGTGCCAGGCTCAAAGATCATACTATGGAAAAGTGGGTCATTGCCAGTAGAGACGTTGGAAGCTACCAACAACAAACCAGGGCCTTAACTTCCGCTCTACAAGCTCAAGCGGAAACCCTTGCAGGTGCTATGACCTAGGCTCTTAGTGTCAGGATCCCTAAGGAGAGCCCCAGACAACCCTCCCATAGGGGTCAATGTTATGGCTGTGGGGAACAAGGTCATTTCAAAAGGGACTGTCCCAACTGCAAAAATAAAAACCTTCCCTCTAAGCCGTGCCCTAGGTGTGGTAAGGGCCTTCACTGGAAGCATGAGTGCCGGTCTAAACTAGAGGAGGGGCAATCCCCAGCCCCGTCACCCCAAGGGGATACAAAGCCAGTACCTGCATGCCCTACCAGGCAGCCAGTACCCCAGGCTCATTGGACTATACCTATAGTTCCTGGTTTAAGACCAAAAATTAATCTTAAAATTCAAGGCAAAGAGTTTCGATGCCTTGTTGACACGGGGTGAAATCGAACAGTCCTAAGCCACTATGGCAAAAATAAATGGGTCTCCACCTTCAAAGACAAGCCATTGTTGAGTGGCATCACCAATTCCTCTAAAAAATCAATTATTGAAACAAGAACGGGGAGTCACCAGCCCTCATCAGCAGTTGGGACAGGCACTCCTAACTTTAAACATCCTAAATTTTTCCAAAAATGAACCCGTCTGCCTTCCAGAAACACTGGTCAGCTCAACCACCGCACCCAGAAGCCCAAGTGAGGTGGAAAGACCCCTTAACAGGCCAGTGGAGGGGTCCAGACCCATTGCTAACTATGGGTCGAGGGTTTGGTTGTATCTTCCCCCTCAGTGAGTCAACCCCTATATGGGTCCCAGCCAAAAATCTTAAGTTCTTGCCAGACATCCAGGGTACCGAGGACCCTGAGGAGTTTATTGTTTGTATGTTTCAGACTGCATTATGAACCCTTTGTGGATGCTCCAAGTGGCCACCCTCCTCAGGTCAACAAGGACAAGGGCCTCTGCCACTGGGGAAGGTCCCCAGGAGCGAGCCAACCAAACCTGGGAGGTCATACAAGCCGCTTGGAGGTGTCTGTATCACATTTAAATAAAAAAAATCGCTAACATCAATTTTTGAAGTTGTTTTACAGAATCGGCATGGACTAGACCTGTTGTTCTTACAGCAAGGAGGATCATGTGCTGACCTCAAAGAAAAGTGCTGCTTCTACGCCGACCACTCTGGAGTGGTCAAGGATTCCCTAGCTAAGCTTAGAGAAGGGCTAGAAAAGCACAAAAAAGAGTGAGAAGCCAATAGTAATTGGTTCCAAAGCTGGCTTTCAGGTTCCCCGTGGCTCACCACCCTGCTGTCCTCCCTGGTGGGCCCCCTCATCTTGGGGCCTTATGCCATTTGCCAGGTTTGTCCTTTATAAGACGCAACACCACTTCTCTCATAATGCTTACCCAGGTGGTAGAGGAGGTGGCCCATAATGAAAGCCCTGACAGCCCTTGGGTCAATATGGCCCTTCAAGAAATCAACGCCAATCTCTAAGGCTCTGCCCCACCCCCACTTGGCTGGATAGTCAATGACGGGTAAGATTTCCAGAGGGAAACAACCTAAGACAGGCACAGCCACCAGAGGGAATGGAGGAGAAGCTGGGAAGGTTAGCTGCCTCCAGCTGCCTTATTAAGACAAAACGGGGCAGATGTCGGGCCTTAAAAACTAATGCCACCTTAAGTGACATTACAAGTGAATTAACGTGGCAGCCTAAGACGGCGCCGGGAGGAAGTAGGGTAGGAGTGTCTGCGGGAACCTTGCCTTAGCCCTTATTGGCCGCACTCATGAACACTGCATGATTGCAATAGATAGGCATTGAGACAGGAACCCTTAAGCTGAGTGGAGGATGTAAAAAACCTGCCTTTCCCATTTGCCTTTAAAAGCAAGTGCTTATGTGCTAATAAATGGAACTGCTTCGACATAACCCCCACCACGTCTGAGTGTCCTTTAATGGGGCTGTTTGGGGTGCCGGCGATGTGCTCACCTCTCTTTACAGCTGTCTTTCCCCATCTCCTTCCAAAGGGGACAGGAGGGAAAGAGGAATCCCAGGCCGTTTGCTCGCCCACCAAAAGGAACGAGGCTAGGGCTGTATGGGTCGGCCAGCAGCGGACCCGACAAAAGAATTCACACAGGGGAAAATCAAAGTGAATGTAATTTGTATGGGAAAATATTGTGCCAGAAGTCACACCTGAAGATACATCAGATAACCTACATTAAGGAGACCTATAAATATGTACTTGTTTTCAGGTATTGGGAAATGTTCTGAGGATTCCCGATTGATATAAAAATTTGCTGATGCTCGAGTCCCTTCTTCAAATGGTGCATTGTTTGTGTCTTATCAATTCATGTCCTGCCATGTACATTACTTAAGATGTTGGGGAAAATGTGAGTACTCTGTAAATAGTTGTTGTAGTGTGTTGATTTTTGGAAAATTGTT